TGAGTCTCATGTAACCTGTTAACTTTCTTAATAAGCTCCAGAACTGTCAGTATTGTGTCTGTGTGGCCATTGCAATGAATTAGTTGGGTAGTAGAGAGTGATGTGGAGGGATTCTTGGTGCCATTATTTTTAACAGCTCAACAATGGTTTGCCTCTTTGCAATTTACCAAATCTCAACATAATTCTACTAAAAACTTGAGAAATACAGATTTCCTATAGAAACCGTCAGTGAGTGTGAGCTTTGTCTGGCACCTGAGATACTCTGATCTCTTTTCACCACTATTGGCTGTGAGTGATTTGAGGACATCATCTAAGTCAGAATACCTGAGTGTGCCAAGATAACAGTTATTCAAGAAACTTGTCTAATGAATACGCTCCTTCACAGTGTCTTAGATGGTCTACTGTAGATGTCAGAAGATTTTTTTCGATGCCCAAACTAAGAGCTTTACTACTCTTTGTCTATTTAAAGTCTACATTGTTACTTGCCTTTGCATTGGCATTGACCTTAGGAGTAGCAGAGACATTTGCCCAGTCCTGCATTATACTCATGATTGCCAGTATGTAATTCATTGTAGTGCCTATCATGTCTAACCATCTCATTAAGGAGTTCCTGCATTTTTGTCAGGTGCTCTACCAGTCTTTTCTAGCAATCTTTGGATTCAGAGAAGACAAAATCATTTCCTCTGCATTATAAATTCTGATATACAGTAGCAAAACACTTTGATAAAGTCATTTATCTTTGGCCAAGAGCTACTAGTAGAGAAATAACGATTAAATTATTTAGCATCACAAAAACTGTTATGTATAGTTTACTCAAGAGTAAACTCAGTCCAGTCATAGAGCTGCTTTATATGAACAGTGAACATTTTCCTGAGAAATGTCAAATCGACCTATTCCTCCCTCTGTGGTGGCCTGAGCAACCCTAGTAGCAGACCCACACCCACACATTCTTCCAAAAGATCAGGAATTTACCCTTCAGCAAGACATCCATATACTACAACCCAGTGGCGACAATGTGGCGGCTGTTATCTGGTGTGATCACTCATGGTGTGTTGCTCCCTTAATGGCCCCCTCCCGTACCACACCATACAGAATCATTAGTAATGTGTATTACCAATTTTAATCGTTGAAAAATACATGATATAGCTATAAATTGCTTAAATGTATCATTTCTTTGGTAATAGTTAATATGAACAACAGAAGTGTTTTGTAAAATCTTTCTACATTGACTTACAACGTTATTAGTAATTAAATAGAAGCTTTAAAAATTTGTTTTCTTTTCCTTTAATTACTACTTCATGCTCAAAAAGTTATTGGTGTAGTTTCACAAATACTACTTACCAATATATAAAAATAAGCTAAAAAGTATTGCTATAAAGTCATGTTGTTGTTAAGTGTTAATGAGTAGGTTCCAACTCATAGCGACCTTGTATAGGGTTTCAGAGGAGCATTTGGTGGGTTTGAAACACCGACCTTGCAATTAGTAGTCCAGTGCTTATCCAACAGTATTACACAAGGACTCCAGTCACAAAAACATTTATTAAAAGTATCAAAATGTGACACTTTCATTTCTCAATATGTCCTTCATCTAGTTCTATATACTTCTGAAGTCCCGAAAGGATGATATGTCTTCATCTAGTTCAATTTATACCACATCAAAATGATACTTTTGGCATCCTCAAGACATTCAAATCTTGTTCCTTTTCAGTGTTCTTCGTGTTTTGAAAACAAGAAGAAGTCTGAGGGGCAAGATCAGAAATGCTAAAATGTATTATTGAGAGAACTTGTCTTGAGACCATCCACTGACCACACAGACATGTTTAAAAATGGTTGTTTTTGTAATAATGTATGCATAACTGGAACCCCAGTACCAATACTTTTTGGCTCATCCTAGTATTGTAGTTAAAACACTAGAAAATTTGGCAAAATTAGTCACTATGAAAACAACAGTGTTTGTAGGCGTGTACAGATGAAGTCATGTGATTCCAAGTATCATTGGAATTAGGTAATAATGGCAGTTCTGACTGGAGTACATTAGAAGGTTCAGATAGTAAATTAGCATAGAGTTTTAATCTTACAGGTATACTGGTACATGTAAACTGGGCTTATGAAAAATATTTTTATTGTTACATCTAACTACAGACACATTTTTATTTAAAAATGATAAATTTCTGCTAGAACACTACACAAAAATTTTATAGTCATTTTGGTGTTATGCCCCCTGACAGTGCCCACTTGGTGGAGTCCTCCCACCCACCCCCACTGAAGCCACTGCTACAGCCATGATTGAACTCCCATGGTATTCCAAGGAACCTTTCTCAAGCTCTTTGCACTTAAGGATCCAGCAGAACCCAGCATCTAAATCGTAACGGGGGGAAAAAAAAGTAAACCAGTTGCCATCCTGACTCATGGCAGCACTCCCATATGTGTCCAAATAGAACTATGTTCCATAGGGTTTATTTTTTGGAGGGAGTGTGGAAGGGAGATAGGAGGAAGGAGTTAGGGTTACAAGTATGGCTAGGTCTAGGCTAGCCCTAAGATTTCATTGAGCATTGAGGTTATGGTTAGAACTAGGGTTAGTGTTAGGGGTAGGGGTTGGGCTAGGGCTACAAGTAAGCCTTGGTCTAGTTTTAAGTTTGCAGTTAGGTTTAGCTTTGTGTTTTTTTTCTTGAAATCTATTTTGTTTCCTCTTCATTTGGAATTTTTATAATTACAATATTCCTTCCTTTTTACTTTATGTTTTTTATTATTGTTGTTTCAAGTGGTGTCTCTGGCTCCCTATTTTCAGTCTTTTAAGTAGTGTAAGTGGTTACGAGTGGGGCTGCTAAATCTCAAGTTCAGAAGTTCAAAACTACCAGCTGTTCTACGGAACAAAGATGAGGCTTTCTGCTCCCGTAATGATTTACAGCCTAGGAAACCCTATGCAGGGTCAAGATGAGGCAGAACCAGATCCACAGCACACCACCACCACCACCAGATATCTTTTACTTTGAATAATTCTATATCTAGGTTGAGGTCTGGGTTATATTGTCATGTATTAAGTTATTATAAGACATTGTCATGACTTAGGTTATTGTCTGCTGTTGTTGGTTTGTTGTCCAAAGAATTCCCTTTAGTATTTTTTATAAAGCTGAACTAATTTTTACAAATTATTTTAATTTCTTTTTATCTGAAAGTGTCCTGATTTTGCGGCCATATTTGCTGCATAATTTTTCTGTGTATATGATTCTTGGTTTGCAATTTGTTTCTTCCAGAGTTTTATATACATCATCCCATTGTCTTTTTGTCTGCATGGTTTCTGCTGAGAAATCAGAGGTTAGTTTCATTAGTTCTCCTTTATAGGTAGCTTTTTGTTTTTCCTAAACTGCTCTCAGGATTCTTTCCTTGTCTTTGGTTTTGAAAAAGTTTAATTATAATATGTCCTGGTGATTTTCTTTGGGGGTTTATCCTGTTTGGAGTTCATTCAACTTCTTGAATGGAAATATCCCCATTTTTCATGATGTTAGAGAAATGTTCTACCAACAACTCTTGGATCATTTTGTTTTTTTAGTCTCTTCCTATTCTGGAATTCTAATCATAAGTAAATTATTCCTCTTTGGTAGTGTTCCACATAAATCTTAGGCTTTCTTTAACTTTTCTTAATTGCTTTTTCTGATTGTTCTGCTAGCAGATGAATATTAAGAGATTTTTGTCTTCAAGCTCAGTAATTCAGTCTTCCATTGACTGAATTCTACCTCTTTGCCCTTTCAATGTATTAACTATTTCTGAAGTCTTGGTATTAATCTTCTGGATTTCTAATTGCTATTTATTTTGTCAGTTTATTCCCTTAATTCTTCTAAAGTTGTCTCTCTGTCTTTTCCTTGATTTCATCTGCAGATTTTTTTTATCACTCTCTTGAAGAGACTTAAGTATTTTCTCTCAATCTGTTGAAGGTACCCAAATATCATTCTTTTAAATACCTTATCAAGTAGTTCTAATGCCATTTCTGTTACTATAATTTCTGACTCTGGATTTTGGTCACTTGTTTGAGGCACTCTGCCTTGTTTCTTTGTGTAAGTTGAAACTGTTTTCTCTGAGACATCGTATTCATATTTAATTGATAATGGTATGTTCAGGCGTGCGTTTTCAGGCACTAACCATCTGTCTCCTGGTGGATGTGGCAGAGATGCTCACTAGGGTATTCAATGGCAGATTGTTTTGAAGTAGATTACCAGGACCTTTTTCTGATATGTATCTGGGTAGACTCCAAACTCCAACCTGGCAGTTAGCAGCTGAACACATTAACTGTTTGCATCAACAGGAATCCAAGTCATAATTTAGGATGATGGATTTTCTCTGTGAAAATCCACCATTCCAGCCGATATCCAACTCACCCTGATGGTTTAAATCTCAAATGTTATCATTAACTATTTTTATAATTGATGCATTTTCTAGCAATCACTAGAAGTGCCTACTATGTGCAGCCACTATCCAAGGTATTTCTAGGGGATCTTTCTTTTAACCCTCATAACAACTTTATGAAGTCGGTATTCTCTCCGTTGTGCTGTAAAGGAAACTGACGTTTTCTGATTAATGATTTTCCCACAGTCACATAGTAAGTGACCCAGATGGGATTTAAACCAAGATTTAGCTACCCAAAGTCCTTGTTCTGTATGGTGGGTCCTGAAGCCACATAGCAAAAGCAGAATCTCAACTCTGCCACAAACCAACCGTGACTCTTTAGCGAGTTCCTGGGCCTCTAATTTCTAGCATGGCAGGACTCCCTGCTACAAGTTGAATGACCTGCGCAGAAAACAAACACCGAGAAAAGGTGGACACAACGGACGGAAAAGTCGGAGGCCGCTCTCGCGGAAGACTGCGGGCGCCTCAGGGCCTGGGCGGAGCACCTAGGCGGGGCCGCCGCAGGGCGGCGCTGCGCCCCTTCCCGCCCCTATGCCATCCCGGCTGTACTCAGCTTCGGTGCAGTCCTGACGGCGGCGCTCCCAGTTCTGGGTCCAGCAGCAGAGCGCAGGATGCAGTGCTTCGGAGCAGAGTACCTGGTAAGGGCCAGCAACCTCAGCAGTGAGGCCAGGAGAAAGGGACGGCCTCCCTCCGCCTGGCACCAGTCTGTGGTGAACTCTGTCCCCCCTAATCCTTGAGGTTTATAAAGCCTCTGTCTCTAGAACCACCCCTAGAACCACCTTGTCCTAGAGAAGACACCTGGTGTGGGGAGGACCCCATACCTAGTCAGATGCTGGGGTGGAAGCAAGGGAGATGCTTGCCTTGATGCGGGAGAGGACTTGTGCTCCCCTCCAGGTGCATAGCCAGGTAAGGATTTTGCAACAGGCGAGTTACCAGCCCCTCCTCGCAAAGTAGGTGTTTCAAAGACTCCATGGAAGTTTCCAGAGGCTAAAATATATAAATATTTATGATTGGTTGTCTGAGTGGTCTTGGAGTAAGTACATTTGGGTTCCAGTTTGTAGGTTGAGTTCCGCGTGGTTTTTGATCCCCTTCTCAAACCCCTCTTCCTTTTTCTGGAAGGTTTCTGCAGAAAGGCGCCCCAGGCTAAGAGAGTGGCGACCTCAGATATATAGGAAGTGCACAGATAAGACATGGCTAATCCTATTCTTTCTCGTTTGGACTGGTCTGGTAAGTTGTGTATGCATGTGTTGTGTGTGCTTGTCCCCAAATAGCCAAGCCCCAAATCTAAAGCACATTACTAGTGCCTTCCCTGGGGAAGCTCTGAGGTGGTACCAGGTTAAACTTTGTGCTGCAATGAGAGGCATATGTCATCACCCCAGAATAAACATCAGTTAGTCCTCAGGAATTCTTGTGAGGTATTTCTCAATCTCCTAGCTCTGCCGAATTAGAGAGACTGCCTCAGTTCCACAGGCTGCTTTCTAATGAATGGCTGTACTAGGAAATCTAGAATCAAAGTTGGCAATGGGATTACTACTTAGCGTCGTGACTGTGTCTTCTATAGTTTCTGAGCTCACTGAGTAGAAGGTCTTTCATAGCTCCTCCCACCCAACATCAAATAGTCCTCAGGGTTTGCTGAACTTCTAACAAAGGAAATGCTAAAGTGAGCCTAAAAATAAATTACTCTAAACTTTTAGTTTAGCATTTTGCACACATTCTCTTTGTATGCTGTGTTCAGCCTTGATATAAACCCTTTGGTTAGATAGGAAGGAGCCCAGGTGACACAGTGTTTAGTTAAAGCACTCAACTGCTAACCAAAAGGTCAGTAGTTCTGCATCCATAAAGATTCGCAGTCTTAGAACCCTTAGGGAGTAATTTTATTCTGTCCTAAAGAGTCACTCTGAGTTGAAATTGACTAGCCAACAAATAGGTAATGGTATTTGCCTGCTCTGGTTGCCAAGTATATGTGGTTGCTGGTAGACCTTTCAGCCTGGGTTCTTTTAGTCCTGGGAGAGTCTCTTGGAAGCTGAAACTTGATGTATTTATATTTGTTTTAGTGTTGTATGAAACAGCAGATAAAGCCTCAATTTTTCGAAGAGTGTATTTATGAACTTACCCATGCCAGGCTGAGGCATGCTATTTGCTACGTAGTAAATGATTAATTTATAAAACCCAATAATAACTACCAGATAGTAATTACCTTTGTTGAAAAACACCTAAATTTGAGTAGACTATATTATGTTTGTTTTTCTTTCAAACTAAGAAAGGCATTTGTTCAATTGTTAACTTTACCTACTAGTTTCACACGAACTTTGTTGCAGTGAAAGGTTGGGCCTTAAAGGGATAGCTGAATATTCTATGTTGCTTACACTGTGGCGCTGGAACTCTCCTTTGGAAGCTGAGAGAGATGGCCTCTCTACATCTCCTGCTTAACTTCCCCATAGACAGTTTGCGTTTTTGCTTTGTTCCCAACTCCTCATTCATATATATATGTACCAGCCTGGTATTGACTAATCTATTTTTGTCACTATGCATTTGTCTATTCTATATATTTTATGTGAGTGGGATCATATAATATTTGTTCTATGATTTATTTCACATAATCTATCAGAACTTCATTTCCCTTTATGGCTGAATAATATTCTACTGTATGAATACAACACATTTTGTTAATCCATTCATGATGGGCGTGTAGGGAGTTCCACCTTTTGGCTCTTGTGAATAATGCTGCTATGAACAATGTGGTACAAGTATCTGTTTGAGTCCCTGCCTTCAAGTCGTCTGGGTATACACTGTAGAAGGAATTGCGGAGTTGTATGGTAAATTCCATATTTCTTTATGTTTACCTTTTTTGAGGATGTTTTGTGGTTTTATTTGGATCTACTGTTTAGCATAGTGGTTATGAAACGGGCTGCAAACCGCAAGGTCAGCAGTTCAAAAAAACTACCAGCCGCTCCGCGGGAGAAAGATGAGGCTTTCTGCTCCCGTAAAGATTTACAGCCTCAGAAACCCTGTACAGGGTCTCTATGGGTCGGAACCGACTCGACGGCACTTAACAACAACAACAACTGTTTTATAAATGCAGGGGCAATCATTCTGCCTTGTGCTTGGTCGTTTTGACCTCAGGCTATTAATTTTATTTCATGATCTTCCATGGTACTTATTCTTTCCATCCTCCAAGGTTCAAACCTAGTACATCACTACCAAACACTATGGGAAATCATTGGTAGATGTTCCAGTACCGTCTGAAGAATTATGAACCAGCAGAGAGGTGGGACAGAGCATAAACCTGTAGGTTTCAGTGTGCCAGTCTGTACTTTACTGTATTAAATTTGAATAACCAGAGCCCTTCCTTCTTGTTTTTAGTATTTCCTGCAATATTCTTGAACCACAGATATTTAAACAAAGCCAGGAGTGTTTTCTTCTGCTTCTGATGTTCTGCTTCCGGGTCTTGTGATGTGCTGACCAGTGACCAGGCAGGAGCAAACTCTGAACTGACAGACTAGAGAGGATTATTATTGATGGCACTCGTTGAGTTAAGGCTGGACAAAGGGTATCTGGGGTGAAGGACCAGAGTTATAAACAGGGACCAAACCAAAAACTAAACCTACTGCTATTAAGTCAATTCCAACTAATAGCGACCCTGATACAGTGTTTCCAAGACTAAAAATCTTTACTGGATCAGAAAGCTTATCTTTTTACCTGAGAGTGGCTAGTGGATTTGAACTGCCAACTTTGTGGTTAACAGCCCAACACTTAGCCCACAATTCTCCTAGAGCTCCTTACAAATAAGACAGTCTCTTGCAAATAGAAAGTGCATACGTCTTTGCTTATATGCATAACACATGTAGAACAGACGGTTTCAGTCTAGACCACCTTGGCCCCTGCTTACCTTTTCAGTGCCCTCTCTTAGCATTCCCATTCCTACTCATCTTTCAAGACTACTCTGACCTCCCCAAGCACATTTGATGTCAACTCCTTGATAACCCCATCATATGGGGCATACATACCTACTGTATCCTGTGGAATTGCAATAGTATGTTTGAAATTAGAACAAAGTTTTGATGGAATATCCAAATCTCCTCAGACTCGCAAATTAACTTTTTATCCCTTACTCACAAGCTTTCCAAGGTCAATAATCACATAAAGAATGATGACCAATGGGAAATACCACATCATTATTAGAATCCTTGTGAGCAGGGTAGAAGCATGTGATCCCTTTCATACTGTTCAAGCCCAATCTTGGGATCTTGCCACAATCCAACTAACTCCTCAGAAAGACAGAGAGAATGGGTCATGCCATGCCATATTGGTCACATAAATACACAGAGACACATTCATGTCCACAGCCTTTTAATGAGTGGGAGAGACCCTGTCCACTGGTAAATATGACCTGCTTGTTCAGGAACCTGACCAGTTAGATTGAAGAGGAGCTGAGTGAATGGTCAGGGGCTTTCTTCTTAACCAGGACTGCAGCTGCCGTGTCCTGGACTGAGTTCCCTCACTGCAGATGCTGAATTTTGCTCATCTTTGTGTCTCCAGTAGTAGAGTGCTTCCCACACATGGGGCATTTGACTTCGGGTGGCACTGTGGCAAGGTTAGCAGTTCAAGCTCACCAGCCACTCTTCGGAAACCCTATACAGGGTCGCTATGCATCAGAACCAACTCGACAGCACTTAACAACAACAATCTGAAACATGTTTGACGATGTCTGTATATGTTTGGGATAATGTCACTTTGGAACACCTAACAATACTACGTGGTATTAGATGGTGAACTATATCTTCTCTACAGGAATGAGTCTGTCAATTGTTGTTAAGTGCAGTTGAGTCAGTTCCAATTCATATTGGCCCTTTATAGGGATTCTGAGGAATAGCTGGTGGGTTTGAACTGCTGACCTCATGGTTAGTAGCCCAGTGCTTATCATACAGTGCTACACTAGGACTCCACAACACCAGTGGGAAGACACTTATTCAATCTCAGTAGAGGGCCTGTCAATGCATAATAACAATAATTTTTTTTAACTAAAATGTCAGATATCCCACATTCATTTTGAAATTGAATAAAAATAGACTGAAAAAATAGATCACAAGCTGTTCTTGTCCAGCAAAGTTCCTGGGATTCTTGGTTTTACAAGTACTAAATATGAGGGCGAGTCAAAAAGCATTGCGGGCAGAGCTCCTGTCCATATATGTACTGGTTTATTCTAAACAAAACGTGTTTATGCCTTCAGCGGATGGCTGCAGACAAGTTCTCTCAGAATGCACTTGTGACTGTTTTTTTGTTTTGTTTTGTGTTTTAAATTCCAAAGAGGTCATCTTGATAGATTTTCTCAAAAGACACAGGACAATCACGTGAACTTACAAAAACCTTTTAAGAAAATTGAAAAGTGTCCTGGCGAGAAAAAGGCCAGGAATGCCGTCCCAGGGAATTTTTTCCATTACAACAACATTCTTCAAAGGTAGCAAGGGCTGTCCTACAAGAATTTTGTTGGGAAATCTTACCCTATCTATCCTCCAGCTCTAAGCTTGCCCCTTCAGGCTTCTTTTTGTTACAAAACTTAAAGAACGTTGAAAAGGAACATTACTTGAATCTCTTAAAGATACCAAAACTGCCCTTTTGACTTGGTTTAAATTGAAGAGCATAGAATTCTTCAGGAAAAAGTTAGAGAAATGGAAGTACTAGCCTCAGAAGTATATAGACCAAGTTGGAGTATCAGGCAAGATTCGTATTTTGATATTTTTGTTTAATAAAGGGTTTTATTCTTTTATAACAACACTTTTAGTTACCCTTGTAGTTATTACAAAATAGTGTTTTCAGATTTGTTATGGCTAGTATTTTGGCACATATGGACTATGCTGCCTCTGCCCCTGAAGGCAGGAACCACCTGAAAATAAGGCAAAAAGAAAATAAAAGAAACAATACACTCAGAAAAACAATCAGCAGTAAATACATTGAGAATTAAAAAAATAATAATAATAATGAGTGGTCATAGTGAAGTTAGTCCAAAAATGAAAAATAAAGTAATTAATTCAAATAATCACAGTTTCTTAGAGAAGATAGTTAAGAAGCTCAAAGATGTGAGAAAATGAAGAGCAGTCTGTTTGAATGTTCTAGAATGTTCTCTCTGCCTAACTTATTAAGGTAAAGCTAAGTCTTAGAAGAGTTGGCTCCTAACTGATCAGAGTTTTGACATTATTAAAGAAGTGCAGTGAGGCTAGGAGAGTCTGTTTTTACCTGTATTCCATTTTATACAAAGATATTCAAGGATGGGTGGGGTGGGGTGGAGGATCATCTTTTAAGCCTTCTACCATGTTCTCATGTGCTACCTGGGTTTTACTAGATGTTCATCATTGGCTACTCGGTAGTAGCTGGAGCTGCGGGAAGACTCCTCTTTGGCTATGACAGCTTTGGCAATGTGTGTGGCAAGAAGAACTTCCCGGTGAAAGGGGCTCCGCTTTCAGGGCAGGACATGACCCTAAAAAAGTAAGTGTCCAAGGAAGTCCCCAACCTACAGAAAGCCTGTACTTCCAGACTGTATAAATTACTCATTTAGCACCTGGAAATTCTTTTCCCACTCAAAACTCTATCAGCACATCTCATAAAAACAGGGGCTGTGTGTGGCAGGGGGAAAGTGGAGATGAAAATCCTTGGGACCAGAGAAGTGCCTGGCCATGTCTTCCTAAGATAGAGAATGTCTTACAATAATTTTGAGACTTGATGATCAAAAGTAGCTCCTAGGAGAGAAATCTTAAGAGTTTACATAGATCTTTGATGTAAGTTTGGTGGCACCAAATAGAAATTCAGACCTATCTTCTTAGTCTAAATGTTGCCTCAGAGGAGAGGAGAGCTTATAGCCTTGTGTTTTCTGGGCATAGATTGCATGGGTGACAGTTCTCCCTGCATGTGTAGATTTCAAAGACAGAAGGGGGAAGGGGCATCCTGATACACCTACCCATGCTCTTATTTCTTATTGTATTCCTAACACAATGCTGAGAGTCATCTGTCTTTGAAATAAGAAGTATATATTTTTCAGAGATGTTGGAAATCTGTTCTGCCATTTCCTGTTGCATCACCTCCTTTTCTCCCATCCCCATTTGGAAGGAAAAAAAGTTTCTGGGATCTTTTTCCAAGATCCCTCTCTGCAGGGGGTTCTTCCTCTGACATTCCTCTGATCTTAGCAGCCTGGATAAGTATTGAGCAAGGGTTCAGGAGCTGCCATTGCTTGTCTAGCATGGTACCCATCAATGATAATGCCAACCGGTTTTATTCTGTGTCCTAACTACCCTGCAGGAAGGGTCTCAGGAGATTCCTGGAGGGAGAAGGTGGAGGGGCAAAACTTAGTTCATAGCCTAGGCCTCCCCCATTCCAGCTTTCACATCCCTGGTTCAGCTATTCTCACAATTATATTTGAACATATGTGTACAGATATGAGACCTGGGGGTACAAGTGGTTAACATGCTCAGCTACTAACATAAAGGTTGGAGGTTCAAGTCCACTCAGAAGTGCCGTCAGAAAAGTCTGGTGATCTGCTTCCAAAATATGACCCATTGATATCCCCTGGAGCACAGTTCTACACTGACACCGTGTGGGGTCTCCATGAATTACAATCAACACGACAGCAACTGTTGTTGTTGTTAAGTGCTGTTGAGTCAGTTCTGACTCATAACGACCCTGTATAGTGTTTCCAAGGAATGGCTGGTGAGCTTGAACCACAAGTCTTGTGGTTGGCAGTCCAGTGCTTATCCTACAGCACTATACAACTGTTATGGTTGTTGTTACGTGCAACTGAGTCAGTCCCGACCCTTAGCAACCTTGTATAGGTTTCCAAGGAGTGACTGGTGAGCCTGAACTCCCAACCTTGTGGTTCAAAGTGACTTTTCAGTCCAGCCCATTAATCCACAGCACCACACCAGGACTCCAGGACTCCAACTATTTAGGTACATATATGCTTTCAATGGGCTCTATTGAGTAGTTGTAGACCTGACCTAGAAGTTCTGGTATGAAGCTGTAGGATAAGCACTGGACTGTTAACTGCAAGGATGATGGTTCAAACCCACCAGCCACTCCTCAGAAACCCTATACAGCGTCGCTGTGAGTTGGGACCAAACCAATGGCACTTAACAATAGCAGTCCGTAGGCAGTTTGGTCAGGCCGTCTCTCTCTCTCTCAGTCATCTCCTCAGAGTTACCCTCTAGAAAATGTTGAATCTGGAAAAGGAGAGTTTTAACATTGGTTTTTGAATCTGCTCAACTCCATAGATCAACCACAGAAGGCATAACAAACATTAAATTATGTTGAAGCCATTGATTATGAAAGTTTGCCTTAGCATTCCCCACATTTGATGTGTACAAGTGTACATTCTAAGGCCTACAGTTAAACCCAGGGAGGGAAAATACTCTGACATCTTTTCTGTTTCATCTGTTACCTAGATATGTGTTCTTTATGAATTCCTGCAACCTAGAAATGAAAGATGTTAGGCTTCATTCCATTGCCCTCTGTGTATCCAGCTGTCCAGAAGAACAACTTAACACCCTGGAAGAGGTCCGGCTCTTTGCCATCAACAACGGTAGGCACTGAGGGGCCAGCTTTGCTTCCTCTCCCAGGGTCAGAAACATGGAGAGGGGAGCTGAGGGGCCTAAATGAGATAGCTGTCCTTAGGCTGCTTTCTGTGGAAATCTGAGCATTGTACTTCCTGGTGGGTGTCTTTTCTTGAGTGGAAAGGTTGTAAACATTTTCTCTTCAGCTGGTTCAATTTCATTCAGGTTTGGCGGAATTTCTCTGGAACCCTAGCTGCCGCTTGCCTGTGTTACCTACTCGCTGCTGGGGCATGGCTTTCCACACAGAGGACAACACAGGCAGACAGACATGGGGTGTACAGTGATTTGCATTGTCCCTGAAGGCAGTCAGAAGGGGTGTCAAAGGGCTCTATGAACACCTGGCTCAGCCAGACCTAGAGAGACACTCACGGGCTTTGCATGATATTGACAACAAGTCTCATAATTCAGAGTCACCGAGTGGTGCAGTGGTTAAAGCGCTCAGCTGCTAACCAAAACGTTGTCTGTTCAAGTCTACTACCCAGAGGTACCACAGACAAAAGGTCTGGTGATCTACTTGTGAAAAATCAGCCACTGAAAACCCTGTGGAACATAGTTCTACTTTGGCACATGTGGAGTCCCATAAGTCAGAACCGACTCTGCAGCCAGTGCTTTGGTTTAGGTTTTGACAGTCAAACGTTGGGGCCCCTGGATACTTTCACTGACCAGTTGGGGTAGTCTTAAGTCTTAAAGCATTTGTGTTATTGAAATACTTTGCTCTGGGCCCACTTTTTAGATTTTTGCTATAAAGTCTAAATAAATGAAGGAAAGTGAAAGAAATTCAAGGGAACCCACTGGAAAATATCTGTGTCTGTGATTACGATGTGACAATTGATGTTTTTCTTTTTTCCTAAAGAATTGTCTGCAAGGCTAGGTTTAAAATAATCAGGTTTATGTAATAAATCGCCTTCAAGTGAACTTCAAATTATTTTAGTACTAATTATGTAGCGTTTTGAATTTGGGGTTTTGGAGAATAAAAAAATGAGGGCTTAACTCGACCTCAGATTTTAGCCTACTCTGGTGTTTGGGCCACCCCTAAACCTGCTTTCTAAATCTGGGCTGTTTATTCTGTGTCTTTTCTGGTTTGGTAAAATGGGTGTGTTTCCCCTCCCTTCTCCACTAGGAGGATGGGCAGAACGTAGCCAAGTGGTACAGTCTGTGTGCTTTCTGCTTCTAGGGTCCTTCCTTTGTGTTTACAACTTGAATTCCTTCAATTCCACTCAGAATCCAAATGTCTACGCACTGTGCCCCAAGCTACCAGTTCCTCCAAGGTAAAAACTTCCTTACTTTTTTTCTTTTTGCTCAATGAAAGTTCAAGAATTCTTAGTACATGTCTGTTACGCTTGGTATTGTGGGAAGCACAAAGCGGCTGTTAAATAAACCCCCTGCACAGAAGGAAATTACAATCTCAGGAGACCAGGGATTTAAAAATAGGAGATACTGCTGTGCTGCTCCTGCAAGTCGGTTCCCACTCAGAGCAGCCCTGTGTAGGGTTTCTGAGGTTGTAAATCTTTTAGGGAGCAGAAAGCCGCATCTTTCTCCCATGTAGCAGCTAGTGGATTCGAACTGCTGCTATTACAGTTAGCAGCCCAGTGTGACCCACTACACTACCAGGGCTCCTCTTTTTAATCTATTCTCACATTGTAACAGTGGATCAGTAACCAGGTAAGGAGGAAACTCAACAAACAATAAAGATACCTGTAGTCTTCAAAAAAAATATTAGGGCTAGTAAAAATAAAATGTGAATGATTGCCAAATGAGTGATTTTATAAAATATCTGGTATGTAGTTTTTCTACTCCAACTATGGATGGTTGTTGTTGGGTGCTGTGAAGTTGAATCTGACTCACAGAGATATTAGATGACAGAGGAGATCTACTCCATAGGATTTTCTAGGAGGTGGTGCTGTATGAGAACCAATAAACTGTTAACTGCAAGGTTGACAGTTCAAACCCACCAGAAGCTCCTCAGAAGAGAGATGAGACTTTCTGTCCCATAAATATTTACAGCCCTGGAAACCGTATTCAGGGTCACAGTGAGTTGGAATCGACTTAGTGGCAGTGAGTGAGTAGTGTAATCTTCATGGAATCTTACTGCTAGGTCTTATTACCACAGAGCTACTGGGTATACTCAAATTACCATCTTTTAAGTTCAAGGTCAAATGCAGCACCAGGGCTCCTTAACTATTGATTACAAAGTAGAAATCATTCCCTTTTTCTTGGTTGGCTTTTATAGCCCTAGATTTCTCCATGATAAACAGACTTATGTGGGTGACGCCAGGTGATCAGCTAGCTTTCCTCTCACTGAACAGAGACAACATACTCCTTATCAAGAACATTAATTTGGATTCCTTTCAGGATCTTATTCATCCCAATCAACTAGGACTACCTGGCATATCGCTGTTGTTAGTGTTGCTGTTAGCTGCCATTGAGACAGCCCCCAATTCATGGTGACTTCTGCACAATGGAATAAATCGCTGCTTGGTCCAACGCCATTCCTATGCATCAGATACAGAACAGAGTGTTGTAATCCATAGGGTTTATTTTGGGTGATTTTTTTGGAAATAGACCACAGGCCTTTCTTCTTAGTTTGTCTTAGTGTGAAAGCTGCTCTGATACCTATAACATACAAGCCTCTACTGCGTGACTGGCAGGTGGAAGCTGTGTATGACAGTATCAGCTGGTAACTGAACCTGGGTCTCGCTCATGGAAGGTGAGGATGCTACCACTGAACCACCAATGCCTCATCTGGAATAACAGTGTTATTCTTGGTGGTGGTGGTGCCATTGACTTGCCTCCAACTTATAATAACCCTGTGTACAACAGACCACCACTCGTCTGTCAGTTAGTCATACTGTTGTGGCTTGTGAGTTGCTGTGATTCTGAAAGCTATGCCACCAGTATTTTAAATACCAGCAGGGTCACTTGTGGTGGACAGGTTTCAGATGAGCTTCCTCATGAAGCCAGATTATGAAGAAGGAGTGACAAACTACTTCTGAATATTTAGTCACTGAAAACCTTATGAATAGCAGAGAACCACTGTCAGATACAGTGCCAGAAAATGAGCCCCTCAGGTTGGAAGGCACTTAAAATGTGAATGGGGAAGAGCTGCCTCCTGAAAGTAGAGTTGACTGTGATGACGTGAATGGAGTAAAGCCTGTGGGAGAAAAGCCCACAGAACCTTCATTTGCTGATGGGGCACAACTCAAAATGAAGAGAAACAGCTATAAACATCCAGTGAAAATCAGAAGATGGAATGTACGAAGTATGAATTTGGGAAAATTGGAAGTTGTAAAAAATGAAATGGAACACATAAACATTGATATCTTAGGCATTAGTGAGCTGAAATGGACTGGTATTGGCCATTTTGAATCTGATGAGCACATGGTTTACTATGCCAGAAAGGACAAATTGAAGAGTAATGGTGTTGTATTCATCGTTAAAAAGAACATATCCAGATCAGTCATGAGGTACAACGCTGTCTGTGATAGGATAATATCCATGTGCCTACATGGAAGCCCAGTTAATACCACTATTATTTGAATTTATGCACAGACCACTACAGACAGTGAGGGTGAAATAGAAGAATGGTGTGCTGCTGTGGGTTAATGGCCAGGCTGCAAAGCCGTTTGAACTACAAGGTAGGTGAAGCTCATCAGCTGCTCCTTGGAAACCCTATACAGGGTCGGTAGGGGTCTGAACCCAATCGACAGCACTTAATAACAACAACACCAACCAACTTCTTCAATCTGAGATTGACCAAACATGCAATCAAGATGTATTGATCATTACTGGTGATTGGAATGCAAAGGTTGGGAGTTGAGAAAGGATCAGTAGTTGGAAAATATGGCCTTGGTAATAGAAATGGTGCTGGAGATCGCATGATAGAATTCTGCAAAAATCAATGATTTATTCATTTCAAATACCTTCTTTAGACAGCATAAGAGACAACTATACACATGGATCTCACCAGATGGAA